GCGGCCGGACTGGGCTGGGGCCGAGGGAGGGGACTCACACCTAGCTCTGCAGAGATGCAATCTGCGCAGCGGAGGCTGCGCGCGAATTCAGCAATCAGGGCCTCACGCCGAGATTCTTAAAGGCACCGGCACCACCCGCCGAGTTCAGGGGTTGGAGTGAGCGGACAGGACACGGGGAGGAGGAGCAGCGCCGGCCCCACCCCAATCCCTCAGAACCCTCTGACATCCATGCTTCTCCACTGCAACTGCAAGCACCTACAGGTCTGTCAGTGAACCAGGCTGCTAGGCTGATGACCTGATGACAGTACAGTCTTTGGAGGGATGCGGACCTCCTGTAACCACCCCTGATCACCTGACCTCCTGGCGTCCGCCCACCCACGCAGTGAAGGAAGGGGGTTACGCTGAAAGAAGGCCATACCCACAGGCACCGGTTGGAACACTGGGCCTTGGAGATGAAGGAATGGTACCTTTCCACCCTCCTTGTCACACAGCCTAAATCCCTCTGGGGGCAACCTGCCTACTAGTTTCCCGGAAGAAGTGGAATTTAAGGGCAGGATGACCCAGGAAGCATCACTAAGTGCATTTTGGGAGCAGAACTGTTCCAGGTGGAGTAGAGAGAACACCTAACATCCTAATATTAAGTTTTAGTAAACACTTTAATGATCCCTACTGAAGCCTGTTCGGGCCCTCTCCGGAGGGCTCATGGTCACATCAATCCCTGGTCAAATCCAGGTCCACTGACATCTAGAAGGGAAGGGAGAAGTAACACACAGACTTAAGTCTGATATAATCTCCAGGTCTCCAGAATTTTGTGATTCTTGGAGCTTTGCTCTCAAGACAAAAAGGGGGGAGGGAGAGAGGGAAGGAAGGAAGGGAAGTAGTAGGTCTGGATGGAGAGATAACCCTAAATTGGGCTGATGTATGGGTTATTATATCTCTTTGAGCTAGAGTTTTGGGCATGGGGTTGAGTGGTTGGAAAACCCTGGCTAGACTAGGAGAAAGGAAGAGTTCTCAAGGGCTGTCTTGAATTGTAGAATTAGGTTCCCTATGTCTCCAATCAGAATTGGTGGGTTGGTTGGAAATGGGTGGAACTCAGAAAGGTGGACTTTGAGTCAATAAAGTGAAGGGCTCAGGTAGGCCAGAGCATGGCAAACAAGACTCTGTAGGTCTTGCCCTCCCCCATTCCCTGGCCTTGCTAACTGTTAGATTACATTCCTAAAGCTAACCACCAAGGTGTATTCCTTTATTTGACCACTTCCTCCTCCTGAGGCTGGCAACCAAGGTCTAGCTATTAAAGTATTGAAGTCCACCAGTCAAATGCCCTCTTTTGTCTACCCTAATTAACATGTCCAATCAAAATAAACCAATTCACTCTATGGGGGGGTTACCCCTTCCCCTTTATAAACTGCCATTTGCCTATGAGCCCCATCTGCCTGCACTTTATTCCAAGGAAATCCTTTGACCCTCTGGGAAAATATCTCTTCCCCTTCTCCCTTGTCCCTTTCCCCCCCTCTCCATTGTCTTCTGTCCTCTGCCTCTGTCCCTCTGGGGCAAACTATTCTCTTTGGCCTGAGAACATGTTCTTGATGTATCCTTTCTGAAAGTTCTCCTGAAGGAAGAAGAATGATGGGGTTGGACCAGCACCTGGGTAGGAGATTGGTAGTATTCAGTAACTATGTCTGGATCAAAGAACTAGGGCTTGAGGACTCCCTGGCAAGGGCTCAAAAGGGTTTCATAAATAGGCACACCAATTTGTTTCTGGGGACTTGAAACTGGTTGAGTGTACTGGGGGGAGAGAGGAATGTCTGAATTTTGCTGGAGCAGGTTGGCTAGTTGCATTTGTTAGCAAACTCAGGGGCTGGGATGGGGATATGTGTGCCTAGACTAGAGAGGTTCTTACTAAGTCCATGCCCAACAGGTTCAGTGCAAAGTGCACACAGTTGCTGCTAGTAGGATGATAGGGAGGAGGATCTGAGTCCATAGCTTCTCGAACACGACACTCCAGCTCTACAGGGTTAATGCCACCACGTCTTCGAAGCACACGCCAGAGCCTTCTGGAGCGCTGCAGGGCACGGTGCCCCTGTTTGCACACCACACCTTCACAGTAACCCAGAAGTGTTTGTAGTCCACCATCACCGGAGGTCCTGCCTGTGAGGAGAGCAGGCCCAGTGCAAATCACAGCAAGTATTTCTTCAAACTAAAGTCCCACACCAGACTGCCCCTCCCCCTTTCAGAGACCCATGCTATCATCCCAGTTTTCATCTCAGTGCAGCCTCCTCATGACTGGACAAATTTGTTTTTGCTCACCCTCAAAGTGTATGATCTCTCCGTGGCCACAGTAAACACCCACGTGGGCCCCGAACCACTGTGCCCTAGGAGACTGCAACTTGAACAGGAAAAGGTCTCCAGGTTGAGGTTCATCTTTGTCTAACTCCACTTCTTGGAACTGATGACCCATGATTGCCTCAGTGAAGAACTTGATGGTACTGGATGCCCCTACCAGGGTCTAAGTGGAGAAATATCTCAGACTTCAGGGTGTGTACACAGGAAAAGTCGGGTTATTCTGCAGCTCACAGATAGTAGAGCTGGCTCCCTGTTGTTAAGGGACTCCAGAGGCCTGGCAACCACAGATGCATCATGTCCTGAGCTACCCTGAAGGACCTCATACTATCCAGCAACTGGGACTTCCTCACCACCCACCCCCTCCCCTGGTTATCCTCTTATCCCCAAATCCTGCCACTCTTTTCTTCCCCCGTCTCCTGGATCTCCTTCCTTATCCGTCTTCCATTCTGTCATTCCTACAAGCAACACTGGATTCTGGGTGTCAGCAGGCACCTGGGTTGATAAAATGACCTGAAGAAACAGGAAAACTTTAGTGAGATCTGGAACAGGGTAGATACCTCCTGTGTACAATAATCTCAATAGCAAACATGCATTCACTCACTCCTTGCTACAATTCTCAACATAGGTATAGTATCCTTATTTTCAGGAGGAAATTGAGGAACGTCCTGTGTCCCATGTACTAAAGAAATACCATGCAATTTTTTTCCTATAAGAAACTGAGAAATCAAATTTAGTTTCTCATCTTTACTGGGAACAGAGGGTTCTGGAAATTTGGAAGGATAATTTCACTGCCATATTTATACCTGAGATTTTGATTCAGAAGGGAGAGAGGGGGAAAAAAGAGAGGGGGAGGAAGGCAGGCAGACAGGGAGGGGGAAGGGAGGGAGGGAGGGAGGAAGGGAGGGAAGGAGGGAGGGAGGAGACTGTTGGAGCACTGCTAAAGGACTTGGGATGAGTGATACTTCAACCCAGCACTCTGAGATCTTTGTGTCCTTGTGTCCTTTGGTCAGCAGTCATTCTCTCTAACATCCAACAAATAGGGAGAGCCCCTTCCTCCTGGCTCCCCATTCATTCCATACCCACTGGGTCAAGCAGAAGTCACAGTTATAGAAGACAGTGCACTGTCTTGGACCCTGTTGAGACAGCTGGCACCTTGCCTGGGGAGGAGACAAGATGAGCCAAGCACTTCTGCTCCATTTACCTGGGATGAGCAGCTCATCTAGGGAGAGAAAAACCAGTCGTCATCACCAGCTACCTCACCTGATCTCCCTGCCCTGGCTGTTTCAGCTGTCTCCCTCTTCTGGCTGCTCAATATCTGTGTGTTTTGCATAAGTCTGCACTAGATGGATGATTACAAGTTGAGAGACCTATGTCACCTCTCCATATGGGACATCAAAAAGTCCCTTCTCTCTCCACCTCAACTTCCTCATCTGTAAACTGGGGACAATAAGGTTGGCCAGCTGGGCATCACCTGACTGCTGTGAATCACTGAGAACTCTTTGTGATAAGGATAATACCAGAGAGCAGGGTTTGTTTATCTGAGGTCTAGTTGGCTCCTGAACTTGCCATTGGCCTGAGCATGCACATTTGAGCACCAAGTGGAGGGCTGGGGAAAATACCTCTTTCTCAGTTCAGAGGAGAAGAACAATGGGTCCCAAAGGCTGGTGGCCTCCCTGTGATCCCTGCCTCAGTGATCAAAAGGGATCACTCAATTGGAAAACCCAGACTCTCCCTCAAATTTCCCATAGGGGAAGGGTGGAGAGGCAGTCTGGCTGCCATCAGTTTGGCCTTTGCCCTTTCAAACAGGGTTCCAGGCCCATGGCTGATGTTCCACCTATAATGAACAATAATACTTATGGCTAAAAGCTATATGAAGGCCACAATTAGCCCTAGCAACAATGTCATGCAGATCCTACTGTCATTTTTATTTGGAAGGAGGGAAAATGAGGCTTGGGGAGGGTGTTAAGGTTAGAGCTAAAAAGTGATAGAACCAGTGTTCAAACTGGGATGATTTGACTGAACCAGGGTATGGGACTGCCTCTGGAATGCTGGGACCTCTTAAATGGTTCGTGGAATCCTACCTCCAGCCCCCACCCCCAGGAAGTATTGCCCCTGTTTTCTTCCTGACTAGAGAAGCAGCTACTCTTGCATTTAGCATTCATTCATTTAGTTATATTAAAAGACCAAGAGCAACACCCCGGAACCACCAGAACCTTGGAGACAAGTTTCTCAATCCCATGGCCCAGGGGCTGACAACACTGCCCACCCTGTTGGGGATCCTGGCTTGGAGGCCTGAGCCCTTCTTCACCCTGGCTATCAGAAACAGCAGTGGTAGGGAGTCCCTGTGACTTGCTTTGGGGTCACTGCTCCCAGCCAGGGATCTGCAGCTAAAACAAGGTCAGAGTGGAAGCCCACCTCTTCTGACCATCCCTCCCTTTCCAGAGGCTCCAGTCACTGTGACCCCACCCAAAAATGAGTCCATAATGTAAGCCACTTACCTTGTAGTGACCACACTTCACTACTCGTGAGACCTTAGTCTTCTGTGGCCAGAGGAAAGAGGGCAAATTGGCCAGGGATCTGGCAGATAAAAGGGACTAAACAGGAAGTTCTGGGGCCAAATGGGAGCACCACTGTCCTACCCAATCCAAACAAGGCAGCAGCACCTCTGTTATGACCCTGAGGGCAGGCAGGAAGCCAGAGCCTCAGGGCTGGGGTCCAGGTAGGTAAATGGTGCCTCCTTCCCCATGACTGCCTGATCTCCTCAGCACCTTTTCCTCACTCTTCACTGGCCTTAGGATACTCAAGGCTTAGTCTCTACCCTGTCTTGGTCAGAGAACAAGAGCTAGCTTTCTATCCCCATGAACTTACTGAGGTTTGCTCTGCACCCTTGCACATGTATTCTGCAGGTTCAGGTGTAGTGTTCTGTAAGCACGCACTAGGTCGAGGTGGTTGACAATATTCTTCATATCACCGCTGACCATATGAACTTTAATTTCTTTTTTGCACCATTTTCTGTCAGTTCAGAGGGATGGTAAGACATCTTGCTATGTACAGGTACAGTATTATCTCCCTTTCATTCTGTTAGATTTTGCTCTGTGGAGTTTGAAACCCTTATTACATATAGAAACATTTTACAATTGCTACATCTTTGGATGAACTGACATTTGTTATGAATATCCCCCTGTACCTCTGCTAATGCTTGAGCTGAAGTCTTTAGTTAATGTCATGCTTGCTAATTGCATCTGTGTGTTTTTTATCAGCCACTTGCTTTCCTTTTCCCCATTGACCTAAAGGCTATTTGTGTCTTTACATTTACTTTTGATTTTGAGATGGGAGTCTCACTTGTTTCTCAGGCTGGTGTCAACTCTAGGCTCCAGTGATATTGTCATCACAGCCTGGTAAATATCTGAGACCTTGGATACACACCATGTGCCTGGCTCTATGTCACTGTATTTAAAATACATTCATAATAGAATATAATTGGGTATTCCTTTTAACTCACAGATATTTAATGTGGTAATTGATGTGGTTAAACTTTGGTCTGCCATTATTTACTTGTTTTTCCCATCTGGTGTGTGTGTATGGGTGTGTATGTGTGTGTGTGTGTGTGTGTGTGTGTGTGTGAGAGAGAGAGAGAGAGAGAGAGAGAGAGAGAGAGAGAGAGAGAGAGAGAGAGAGAGAGAGAGAGAGAGAGAGAGATGTGTGAGTATGTGTGTTGTGTTGTTTGTGTGTGTGTTTGTGCATCTAGAGAGAGAGAGAGAGAGAGAGAGAGAGATGTGTGAGTATGTGTGTTGTATTGTTTGTGTGTGTGTTTGTGCATCTATGTGTGTTATGTGTGTGGTATGCATGTGTGTTCTTTTGTTTTCCCTTCCTTGTTTCCTTTTGGCATATTTGAATATTTTTGTTATTCATTTTAAGATGGGTATAGTAGCACACACCTGTAATCCCAACACCCAGGATGCTGCAGTAGGAGGATTTGAAAGTTTGAGAGCAGCCTGTGCTTCATGGTCAGCTCCAGACTTGCTGGGTTACATAACCTGTGTCATGTAGTAAGAGCATGACTCAAATATATCTATTTGAGATATAACTATCTTCTGGCATTTAGCTCCAGTTCTCCATCTTATATAGTAAGTCTCTTTAGAGATTACAATATAACTAGTTTTCCAACTGGCCAATTAGATTAACCAGTCAGGTTTGGTGCTAATAATAACCACCTTACACAAACTACTTGGTTATAGAGCTTGGAATTGCACATCAATGGATAAGCCATCAGTACTGTAGGTCTGCCACCACCATCACTGCCTGTCTTTTATGATATTTTTGTCATATATACACTAAGCAACCCACAGGACAATTTTATAGATTTTTCTTTAAACTGTAGTATATTTTAAGAGAGAATAAAGATGCCCCTTATAGTTACATGGGTGCAGGTCTAAGTGTTTCTCTAATGCTATTGCCTTTAGACAGATGAAATTCCTTCAGCATTTCTGGTAGAGCAGTCGGCAGATGTGAACCATCTTAGTTTTATATGAAAACAACATCTTTGTCTTTATTCATCCTATCGGATACAGAATTAGGTTTTAACATTTGCTTTTTACCTTTTACATTGACTCTTTGTGGATTTTACATCATTTTTCCTGATCCCACTCACTTCCCTGTTCCCTTGCTTCCACCTTCTACCTTTGCAACCTCCCTCTCCCAAAAACAAAAACAAAAAATTTTTTTTGGTCTTTCCAGACAGTTTCTCTGTGTAGCTTTGTAGATCAGACTAGTCTCAAACTCACAGAGATCCGTCTGCCTCTGCTTCCTGAGTGCTGGGATTAAAGGCATGCATGAACGGAAAACAAAATTTAAAAGTAGAACCAAAACAAACAAACTAAAACCAAAACACCAACAAAAAATCCTGGCATGGAAGCTGTAGTGTGGCCCAGTGAGTCACACAGTATACCCTGTAGTTCATGTAATGAGTCTTATGTTTGATTCCAGGCCTCTGACTTCTGCTATACCCTCAATACTGGGCCCTCACTGGGGCTCCTCTTGGACATCCTATTGTTGCCTTGTGTCTTGGAGACCCTGTAGCTGTGGATCTGTAGGTCCAGTCCCTTCACACACTCCAGCAGTGCATAGAAGAGGTGGATGTTGGGATGCACTACCTTGTAGTCCAGGTTCTGGGCCGGGATGGTAGCTGGATAGTCAGCCTGCCAGCTTTCCCTTATGGTCACCACCCAGGTCAGAGCTTGCCAGCACTGCCCTGGCTAGCTCACCTAATATAGCCAACAGTAAGGAGCTGGGCCAATTCTCCTGCTCTCACTCCCTAGGGGCCACCTCACCCACACTCACACCACCAGAGCCAGCTCCTCTGTTTTTATGCCCCCAGGTTCAGTCTCCTGCCTGTTGCAGGCAGCAAGAGGTGCTATTTCCCTTTCCCTTGCAGTCCCAGGGCATACCAGGGAGAGGGCAGAGGCAGCTCTCCTGCTCTCAAGCCTACAGTCCCAGCTCATCTGAGCCCCTACCAACAGGGTCAGCTCTAGTGTGCAGCGCAGGTGAGGTGCTATACCCGCTCTCCCATGTGCTGCAGCTGCTGAGGGCCAGGGCCAGCTCCCCCACCCTTGTGGCCCTGTAGAGAATTTTCTCCATGGCTCCTGAACTTCATCTTTTCAGGTGAGAAGTCAATGATGTGCACTATTGAGCTTCACAGAACATGTTGTCCTTGGCTGCCTTCAGGCTTCTCCTTATCTTTGCTTTCAGTGGTTTGATTGCGACATGTTACCTTTGTGTTTACCTTGTCCCCATTGTAGCAATTTTAATGTGAAGTTTGTCTTTCACCTTTTCCTTTTATCCCCTCACATTTTCTGCTCCACTTTCTTCTCATCTAAGGCTCCAATTAATAATATCACTCTAGGGGCTGGAGAGATGACTCAATGGTTGAGAGCACTGGCTGCTCTTGCAGAGGACCAGGGTTCAATTCCCATCACCCTCATGACAGTTCACAACTGTCTGTCACTAGGGGGATCTGACATCTTCACACCAATGCACATAAAATAAAGTTAAATAAATCAGTAAAAAAATAATATCACCCTAACACTATTCAATGAATTATTTTACTTGGAGCCAGATATGTATTGGTATTTTTTTAAATTTCATTTACCTTTTCTTACAGCACCCCCACTTGCTACTAAAATAATTCTTAAGAGTTTTTAATTTACTTTTAATTTGCAATTTCTTATTGTTACTGGAGGTTTTCTTAGTTTATTTTTTATTTATTATTTTTTTTCACAGCTTCTCATTATGTACCCCTGGCCCAAATAGAACCCAATATATAGATCAGTCTGGCCTTAAACTATTTATTGTCAATCTTCTTCCTAAACATATAGAACAAGGAATAGTAACATTTAAAAAGTATACCATGTCACATTTAAAAGCAAGCTCATTAGACATAGATTTCCCAGCAGAAATTCTAATGGCCAAGATGGAACTTAATGAAATGCTTCAAGTTCTGAAAGAAAATGACTTTCAAACAGAATTATCATACACAATGGTTTGATTTGGGAGGAGAAGGATTTGAGTTGGGAGGAGAAGGGTTTCCCTTTGGAAAAGAGAAGTGAAAACCTTAAAGACAAGCATAAACTCAGGAATTCATGGCATTCACCAGCATTAATGAAGATGCTAAGGGAGTCCTACCCCCAGAAGAGGAAGACAGAGCAACACAACTACAAGGACATTCTGTATTTCCATGTCTTTCCTGAGATCACCGGATTTTCTGCTATTGTTTCATTAAATAGATTTTCTGTATCTTTGACCTGTAGCTCTTTTCCTGATGGTATGCTGATGAGGCAGATATTTGCCAATTCTGTTAGTCAGTTTTCCATTTCTGAAACAGATTTTTAAGAGAAAAAGCCTTATTTGGTGTGTGTTTCAGAGCCCTAGGACCATGGTCCATATGCTGCTCCCTTGTTTGGGGACCAGCAGTGAAGCAGTACATCACAGTAGAAGGGCATGGCAGAGAAGAGCTGCTCACCTACTGTGACCAGGAAACTGTGACAAAGAAAGAGGCCACGGACAAAAGATAACCCTCAAAGATATGTGTCCCCACCACACTGCCCAGTGACCTGCCTCCTCTAACCAGGCCTCCCTTCTAAGTCATCTATAAACTCCTTGGTGGATTGATACACTGGTAAGTTCAGCATACCTGGACCAGTCATCACTCTTTGTCCAGCTGCAGATCTGACAGTCAGGACAGGAGCCTTCTGAGTGGACACTTCCTAGTCAGACTGTAATAATTTTTAAAGCTGCCCAGGGATCTCAAATGTCCTCTTCATTCTTTCTTGGGATTTTGGTGTTTTTTTTTTTTTTCTATCTAAACATATTATTTTGAAAGAAACAATTTGAAGCTCCAATATTATTTCTTTACTTGCTATAGATTGTTGTTGATGTTTCTCAGCTCATTTTTATTTTATTTATTGCTTATTTAATTTTTGGTTTTTTTGAGACATTGTTTCTCTGTGTAGTCCTAGCTGTCCTAGAAGTCACTCTATAGACCAGATTGGCCACAAGCTCAGAGATCCACCTGCCTCTGCCTCCCAGTGCTGAGATGAGAGGTGTGTGCTATCCCTTCTGGCTTCAGCTGATTTTAAAAAATCTGACTCACTAAACTTTTAATTTCAAGACTTTTGATTTTTTTGTTGTTGTTTGTGTATTTGTTTTTAAAAATCTCTCTTTACTAAATCTCTCATGTACATTTTGAATTGCTTTCCTAAATCAATTTGACTGTTTATAATTATTTTTGTAAACATTCTTGAGCTTTTTAAAATATGCATTTGAATTCTTTATCATTTACTTTGGTATCTCTGGAATCTGTTACTATAGATTTATGAACTTCATGAGGTAACTGTAATATTTCTTATTCTTTCATATTTGTTGTGTTTTTATGTTGAGATATACATCTGTTTAGAGGACTGTTTTCCAAGTCCTTGGGAAGTTCTTCTTAGACAATGGTCTCCCTAGATGATGTGTCTTGGGGTATGTCTAATCTCTCTGTGGCTTCTTGAGTTGTCATCAGTGGGTTTTAACACAATTTGTATTACATTACAACCCATTTTCTCTTTGAGCCTTGCAAGACTAGTACCTTTCTGGCACTGCAAGTAGATGTGGGGAGGCAACAGAACATGTGTGCTCTTCCCTTAGTGGTCACAATAGAGTATAGTTGGGGATTTCCACGGACACTTGATCCTGCCTCTATGATTCAAAAGCAGTTCTGATACTGGCTCCACAAAAGGTAGTAAATGCTCAATACTTTAATCCTCTGATAATGGTGCAGTTTCCAGTGTCACAGAAATTGTTGCAGACCAGGATTGCAGATCCCCCTCTTGGCACTCCCTCATGTCCAGTCTTCTCATCAATGTATGCCCTGACAAGCATGATGAGGATGCCTGTAGATGAGGTGTCTGCAGCAGGCGGCCCCTTCAGGATCTAGAACCTGCTCCTAGTTTCCATTTGGTGTCATACAGTCTGCAACCCTCTCTATCCCACTCCAATTCCCTTCTCATCCACCCTCTGTCCCAACAACTCCCACAGAGCCCACAGGACCCAGAGTGGGTCCTGAACACATGCTCAGCTGGGCTTTATGGACATGGTGGCCACATTCTGGAGCACTACATAGTGCGTGTCACTGTGGAAGAGATGGGTCACAGGGTTCTGAACCCCTCAACTGGTGGAGGGTGGTGGGTGGGAGAAACAGGTTGGCCAAAGAGTTGGGAGGATTGAACTGTTGGGAGGAGAGTGGGCTCTGGCTGAGAAAGGAAGGACTTGGGATTCTAAGGACAGAGACAAAGACCGAAGAGGGCATTAGGTCCCCTAATGGAAAGACCAGACACTATTCCTGGCTACTACCAACAGATCTTGCTTCCCTACCTTTGGGGGAGGGGTGGGGTAGCTGTGTCAGGAACCCGGATGTCCTGTAGCAGTTTCCTCTGAGATTGAAACATTACTTTCTGCAGAGAAGCTCCATATCTTCCAGAAGACTCTGAAACTAACCAGATTCACTAGACTCCTCCCGACCAGACAGAGGAAACAACACAGACTGAGAGTCTCTCTCAGTCTAAAAGAAGCCTCCAAGGTCAGAGGAGCTAAACTGCAAAGTAGACTTTCAGCCAAGCAAGCTGCAAAGACTGAGACCAGACCAGCTGACTGGAGGAAGCAGAAACCACCCAACTGCCTGGAAGAGGTGTAGAGCAGAGTCACCTAGAAAGGACACTTCAACCTGTTGACCTGTCCGCAGACTGTGCAGTGTGCTCCAGGTTCCCAGCTTTTGTGAGCTGTCATGCTCACAAAAGCTGTCATGCTGGGTGGACCTTGGTGATGCAGCTGTCTTGAGTCATCCGTGCTCCTGTGAGTGACCCCTCACCCCCAGTAAAACGAATTGGTTCACCCAGTTGGACTTCAGAGGTGTCCGTACTTCAGTCTGTTGTGGATTCCGTATCTGGAGTGAGCAGATGCGTGTGTTGCCTCTCTCCAGGAAAAGTTTTGCCAAACATCACATGAGGGCACCACCTCTTGGCTCTGGGTGCTGAAACCTGACACATAAACATGCGTGACAAGGAGCAGCTTTGTGTGGGAAAGCATGGAAAACTTCACACTCATCTTGGGAGTCAGCATCTGTCTGTGGCTGCAGTGCCTCCAGGAAACACAAGCTGCTCTCCCACAGTTCACCTTGCCACACCTCTCGCCCAGTAGCCCATCAAAAGTTGCCCTTCTTCTCCAGTATTTAGAACCCGTGTGTGGGTTTCTCCTGTTCAGACGGCATCCCATCCATGTCTGCTAACAGCATGCACTCTACTGCTACAATCTCAGAGCTTAGCCCTAACTTCCCACAGTGGCAGTAAACCAGAGGTTCTCAACCTGTGGGTCACAACCCCTTTGGAGGCCAAATGACCCACAGGGGTCACACATCAGATATCCTGCACAGCAGATATTTACATTATGATTCATAACTAGCAAAATTAGAGTTATGAAGTAGCAACGTAAATAATTTTATGGCGGGGGGGCACAACAACATGAGGAACTGTACTAAAGGGGTGCAGCATTAGGAAGGTTGAGAACCACTGCTGTAAACAGATAGCTACTAATCCTGCAGAATGGCAGACAACAAGAGTGCTGGAACGATAAAGGAAGACAGATGTCACCCTGATTTCTCAACTGGAGAAGAAAAAACACAAAACCAGGTGTGAAAATGATAGTAATCCTTGGGAAAATTTTGGAATTAAATTTTAGTGTTGTGGTTTAAAAGCATTTATTTAAAAAGCAGGAGCCTGTAGTTTCTTAGATAAATTGTATCGTATCAACTGTTTGTAACATGAAAATTAAATGACCCAGAGACAGATATTGAGGTTCAAGCTGAGGATCAGGGAAAGGAAAGCAACCGGCTACTAGAAAGGGTGGGGTCACACATGAGCTCTTCTCCAAGTCTCAGACTGCTGTCTCTCCTCAGTATGCTGCAACTTTTTCTGGTCCTGTCTTAAATACCTGGGACTAAAGGTGTGAGCTCTGTTACTCTTTTAGACTGATTCAATCTTGTGTAAGCTTGAGTGTCCTTGAACTCAGAGACATCGTCTGCCTTTGCCTTCCGAGTCCTGGGATTA